CAGCGTTTAATGGTTTGGATATACATCAAATGGATGTTAAAACAACTTTCTTGAATGGTGAATTAGATGAAGAAATTTATATGGAACAACTTGAAGGATTTGTGGCCTCTGGACAAGAAAAGAAAGTGTGTTGACTTGTTAACTCACTTTATAGATTAAAGCAGACTCCTAAGAAATGACATAAAAAATTTGACACGATTATGATGTCAAATGGCTTCAAAATTAACAATTGTGAAAAATGTGTTTATGTCAAGAACACTCAAAATGGATACATCATGGTATATTTATATATAGATGACATGTTAATTATGGGTAACAATGATACCATAATTCAAAATACTAAAAGGATGCTAACAAGTAAATTTGAAATGAAGCATTTAGTTATGGCTGATGTTATATTAGGAATTAAAATTTCTAGAATATCCGATGATCTTATATTGTCTCAATCACACTATATTGAGAAGATTCTTGATAAATTCAAGAAAAAAATATGATATTATTCCTATAAAAACACCTATGAATGTTAGTATGCATCTTGTTTCCAATACTAATGATAGTAAATCTCAATTGGAATACTCTTGTATTATTTACAGTTTAATGTATGTCATGAGCTGCACTCGACCTGTTATTGCTTATTCAATTCGTAGGCTAAGTCGATATACGAGCAATCCAAGTACTGATCATTGGAAGGCAATTGTAAGAGTTTTTGGGTATCTAAAACATACCAAAAACTTTGGATTGCACTATTCGAGATATCCAGCAGTACTTGAAGGATACTGTGATGCAAATTGGATGCAAATTGGATATCGGATACTAAAGACTCCGAGTCAACAAGTGGATATGTTTTTATACATAGAGGTGCTGCAGTATCATGGAAATCTTCAAAACAAACATGTATAGCTAGATTAACGATGGAATTCGAATTCATTGCGTTAGACAAAGCTGGAAAAGAAGCCGAATGGCTACGGAACTTTCTAAAAGATATTCCATGTTGGATAAAACTTATGCATGCTATATGTATCCATGGTGATAGTCAATCGGCAATTGGTAGGGCACAAAATGCCATGTATAATGATAAATCTTGACATATACATCGTAGATACAATACCATTAGACAATTGATCTCTACTAGTATTATCTCTATAGATTATGTGAAATCAAAAGAGAATATTGCGGATCCGCTAACTAAAAGTTTGAGCAAGTCGAAAATTCATCGAAGGGGGTGGGATTAAAACCGATAAAATAATCAAAAGTTTCCACAATGGCAACCCAACCTAATTAACTGAAAATCCCAAGATCTAGGTTCAATGAGATAACCAAACTGTGAAAAACTTAGTACGCATTGGGGAGATTTTTACTCCCACCCATTCATATGATGAGCCAGTGCCTAACTGTCGCGAAATAGGTTAAGTTACGCTTTAAATGGTTTCTATATCTTGATTCGTTCAAGTGGAGTATAGCAGAATACTTTTTATAGAAACCATCTATGTGGGGTGAGAAGGGACCGCTTCTAAGAGAATTAAGTGAAGATGAATTCTCTATAAACACTTATGAACCAGGAGGTGTCCAAGGCCAAATTAGACACAAACATAAAAACCAACTATTTTCGAAGAGAACTGTGTGACTTCTATTGTCTAGATTTACATCAACGACTGACTATTCAAAACAACTTGCTACTGATTGGCTAAGTAAATTCGATAAATTTTATTGTGAAAAGTTCAAAGTCTTTGGTTACTTATCCTAATGCATTTTTCTTCAATTTTACTTTGAAAAACATATCAAATGTTTTTGTTTGAAAAAGGCTGACATATTTCATTCATGTGGGGGAATTGTTGGAAAAATGGTTAGTGAAATAGGTCACCTTTAAGCCCAAATTTCAGTGGGACCCACAATGTAATTAATACGGGACCTAGCGTATTCACGTTCTACTAAAATGGAAAAGAGATGTAACTCCAGTTCTTTCGGAATCGCTAGTCAATCCTATTTTCTATAGGGGCAGTTGACAATTTAATCTGATTTTAACCATTATTTTCATATCCGTAATAGTGCGAAAAGAAGGCCCGGCTCCAAGTTGTTCAAGAATAGTGGCGTTGAGTTTCTCGACCCTTTGACTTAAGATTAGTCAGTTCCATTTCTCGATGGGGGCAGGGAAGGGATATAACTCAGCGGTAATTTATTTGTTGAAAAATATTTAGAATTGAATGTCAAAGTAACACACTTGAAACTATGAATTATGGAAGAATTTGATTTTTCAAACACTTATCTCTCATAGGAAAGTTATGAAACTTTGATGTCGTTTATATGGTGGAAGTTTGGGAATTTGTTTTGGATCTTAAGGAGTACCAATAGACTTTGGAAAGGAGGACACCTATATCCTATCGGGTTCGGTCATAAATCCACACGCGCGCCCTGCCACCGCAGTTGTCTGTCCGGCTGATCAGCTCGGCTCGAAAAGGCACGAGCATGAGCACGTGCCCATGTTCAGTCCGGTTCGTGTTCGGGTGCAGGTGCAGATGGGTCATTGCGTTATATTAACTTTTTGAACAAAATTTATTTGAATTTTTGAGCCAAAATGTAATTAATCAAATTATTGGGTACTTAATGAAATTTAGTTTCTTTGGCCTATTTTCGGGTAATTTTTGGTCTGAATGGTGTGTTAACCAGTCATCTTTTAACCGATCAAACAATCGACTATTAACAGACTAAGCAATCGACCATTAACCGACTTAACAGTTGCGGTATTGAACTAACATGTTTGTTCGAGTTTTGAAGGCTGTCTGAACAGTAATAGCTGTTCTGGAGGATGTTCGAATGACCATGAACAAATCTACAAATAGCCTGCATCGCTGCTAGAAAAATTATACTATTTTCATTACAAACATTTTATGCATTGAATCTCATTCTTCCCTCTCTCTCTCTCTCTTTCTGATATTCTTTTCGAAGTGAAAACACTTCGTTGCGTTCGTTGAAACTCCTGCAGATTGTTATGCTGTTTTCGTAGGAAACGTAATTCATTATATTCTGGAAAACGATTGTTGCACGCCTTTAGCACCATTGAAGGCAGCAAATTCATTTTAAAGAAACATCGTGAAGTCGATGGGTTCGAATTTAATTTTTTGATCCTATTGATCGAACTATTATGTTAAGGTAATTCTGTTGGATTGTTTAGAAGGAGAAACTTATATTTCAAAAACAACATAGAGTTTTGTCAACTGGGGAATTTGTGTATATGGAAAAAAATATTATTATTTATCACCTGAATGTTGAAATCTTTTTGTAAGTTTGGTAAATGTGAAATTATAAAATTAAAGTTTTGTAGTTGTGCATTTTTTCCATTTTGAGAATTCAGAATTTTTAAATTTTAGATTGAGAGTGAGAGAAGCCAGCCATTGTCTCCAAACCCTAAGTTCAATAGTAATTTGCCAAATTCATTACCTAGTGGAGCGAGTTGTAGTTTTGTGTGGTCAGAAGGGATGGATGAGATGGTGGTGCTCGATTTTTGAGTTTGTGGTAGTTTATGATGGAGGCTAGGTGGTGGTGATGTTGATGGTGAAGAGATTGTGGCAAGACAGTGGCGAATGGTGTAGGTATGGTGATTTGGGAAAGTAGTGGTGGCGAAGACATCTATGGTGGTGGTCGTGAATAAGTTAATAAAATATATTTTCAAAAAATTAATACGTAGTATAGGTTACGGGTTCAATAAAAAATAAAATAAAATTACTATAACATGATTTAAATGCAAATTAAGATAGTGGATGAATTAGAATCTTTGCAACTTACTAAATGTAAGATTTCCTAAATTTCACCTAAAAAGGTTATATACACGTCATAAAATTACATACACTATAACAAAAATAAAAAATTTAAAAATAAATATGGTCTTTATGACTAATTTCAACCGATCTTTGAAATGTTATAATTTTTATAAATTCGCCTGATTCTTCAACTTGAGACCCCAAAATATTGTCTAGTGTAATTAATTCCAATAACTTTAGGTCTATTTAATTGGGCTTACTTGTATCCATCTAGCATTGTTTTACTTTTCTTTTTCTCCTTTTTGATAGCAGTTTTATGTTCTTTTTCTCTTTTTTGGATTGAGTTATTTATACTGGAACTTCGCTACACAAACAGGGCACTTGACAAGATTTAAAAACAAGGAAATGAGTCAAACATTCATTGGACAGCTAAAAAAAGAAAAAAAAAAGGAGCGACACAGATTGTAACACACGGCACCTATTTTTAAATCTTGTCACTTGTTTGAGTAGTTTAACTGATTTATACCATGTATGGAGATTGTTTTTACAGTGAGAATTAGGTCTACTGATTTTCTTTAACTAAACTTAAATATACTTCATTTTAAATAGAATAATGCGGTCAATCACTAATGCTGGCAGTGCTTATAAACATCATTACTCTTCTAAATATTATCGATAGCTACGTCCACTTTGGAAAGAATATTGATTTTTACTGTCCCCCACTTGTTTCCTTTAGTCAAGATTCCGTCACTTTCAATATCAATTCAGTAATCAGATCAATTACCCCCATTCACTTTTTTATTCTTAAACCCTAGATGCTAGATCACAACAATCTTGGGAAAGATTGGGAAGAAATGTGAGAAAACTTCTGAATTATTTCTGATGAATATTTTTCCAAGTATGAAGCAAAACAATTTTCGGTAAGATTGGAAAGAATTATGAGAACGGTTGCAAATAATATTAAGAATTCCTTCGACGATTGATCCAATCATATCCCCGTGCTCAAAATCAACTCAAAATATTTTGAGTAAGGGTTTTTCTGGTCTAAGTGTATCTTGCACGACAATTCAAAATACTCATCATAAAATTGGAAAAGAAAGACCTTTTTTGTTTTTGATTTGAAAAACCTCTTGTTACTCTTCTTTTTTATTCTAACCGTTGTTCTAAAATCCAAACACACAAATATTGCTCGTTTTCCTATTTAAATTCAAATTCTCTTCATTGTTTTCACTTGCAAAATGAAAATACGTAACCTTGTGTCTCTTTATTCATACTACTCGATAAATGAAAAAATAATAAATCTTAACAATTGGCCTAATTAAGAATGCACCTTTAGGTCATATTGTTTAAAAAAGGCTGTGCTTAAAAGAAGTATGTACATACACACCTTTTACCACAACCAAGCAAGAATGTGATCCCTTCATTTCATTCCTCCTGGAATTCTGCATTTTTGTACCGTTTTTCCTCCTTAAACCTTTTTAGTACTCCATCAATAGCAAGATCAAAAGCATCTTCAGTATTCCCCATTTCATCACTGCCTATATAATTATATACAAATCTCGGTATAAATTCGACCACCTTCTGTCTCATCCTTCGTATTCGTTCTCTATCATACCCTTTCAACACTTTCTTTATAGACACTCCACTTCTCACGTCCTTTCGATCGATAAAAACCGAGAAATTCTCTGGTTCGTCAGTCAAGAACCATTGATATTGATTGTATATACTTCTTTTCCAGAAAAATACCGGGATCGAACCAGCCAACATGCAATCAAACGTGGATTTTCTTGTATGCGAATCACCCCTGGGCTGCAAACAAAAATCCGAGTCTAAAAAAGCTTCAAGAATTTCCCATGTCCCATCATAGCACCGAGTCCCGGAACAATCCACTATATGACACGAGTCGGACTCATTGTAACAGTGACTCGATAACAGACTTCTGAAATCGCTCTTCACCTTGCGTTTCCCACCAACAAATGTGAATAAATTCGTTCTGTTTCGAGTTTGTACAAAATTTAGCCATTGATCGAGGTCTGATTTCGACTTTGGGTGGAATCCAGTGGGGTAAGGCACACTGATCTCAAGATGATCCCACGGATTTCTTTCAACGCAAAGCCGTAGGATTTGTTTCATCAAAGGCATGTAAATGAAACTGGATCCCCAATCTTGATTCTTTGATCGTCGGAAATCCCATGTCATTCTACCAAGCATGATGAAGTGATCTGAACCATTGGATATTTGCCAATAGGGTTGATCCTGGAGCCACTTGAGTAACATTACACTGTGCCAATCCCGTTCTTTTACAGTATAATTTGTGAACAAATATTTTGCAACTGCAAGTCCAGCATAAAATGGTATATAGAAGGCTGTAGCCAACTCTGGCTCTGTAGTTCTACACTTGTGCTTCATCATTCTTGAGTGGTAAATGATCTCGCCGGCAAACATGTCTGTCCAGTACCATGCCGGAGCTAGATTCTCCGGCATGCCGGCAGAGAGCCCGGCAGTAATCGGGCCAAACCCATAATTGGAAACTGCATTACAACGCGAATGCCATGGGTCTAAATCCTGGCAATTGTCTATTAGTTCTTTGTTAAACATAACCGGAAGATCATAAACATATACCTTTCCTGACTGGCATTCTTCGTTTTGAAGAGATGGCAATGGCAATATTTTGGGTTTCTCTTGTACAATCCGAGTATGAATGGATACAGAATTTGACGTAGCACCAAGAAAAAAATTTAGGACCAGAATCTGGAAGAGAAGAATAACTGAGAGAGACAGACAGCGGTACAAGGAAACCTTTACTGAATTTAATGTGTTTTTTGGCAAAAAGGTCCTGGATTTTTTCGGGGGTTGAGATTCAAATAATGAGTGTTCCACCATTGGAACTTGAAAGGATCAAATTTATTTGTGAAAACGAGCGAACCAGTAGATAGAAAGAGAGAAATAGGGGTCGTAGCCGGAGAATTCAGCTATTTAGAGGGAATGGCATATGCAGCCATCACAATACATGTATAGCCGTTTATCAAAACGATGGTTGCGGGGTAAAGAATCTTTTACCGTATTTATCAATCAAATATTAAATAAATCTTGTTTAATGAGCCAACATGAAAAACTTGTACTTTGTTTACTTCGTTAAAACAGATTTTCCTGTAGTTAGGTTCACGCCTGAATTTTTTAATCCAAAAATTATTCAGAATAAAGAGATCTTGACAAAGAATTCGTTAAAGTTATTGGAGTGACGATAAGTTTGACTTTACGGCAATTAAGACTGGCAGAGGGTACGCGTTCTCATCTCCTAGAGGCAGCCAGAAAATCTAGAACCCACCAATTCATGAATTAACGCCAAAAGCGGCTCCAGATTACTACATTTAAATTACCTTTTTTTGTTAAAATATATATATTTATAATAGTGATGAGTGAAACTCTACTAAGTAAACATGTGCCACATTTAACCAATTTCCTGCAGTTATCACTCAGATTGTCCGTATTGAAAGATCAAAGGAGATTCATATTCTTCTCCGTAAGAATATTAAAATCATATACTTTACGAGCAAATCATGGATCGAATTAACACAATATTAGACCATTGAACTCATGTGCAAGCTCCCATTTAAAATCATTGTAATTGGAATTTGTTGAATTAATTTTTCTTAACTCGTTATGATATGATGTATACCTCTTAATATTCCATCACTTTTCAGGTGTGAAAAAAGAAGAAGAAGGTTTTGTAAGTTAATTACTTTTCCTTCCCAACATACTGATTAGCCAAACACGTGGGGTCCTAAATTGTGCTAAAATCACATTGTTGGTACAAGCTATCGAGGAAGACTTAAAGGTGTCAGTGCATAATAAAAGGGGTGAATCAAAATGTGACTCGTGGACTCTTTGGGCTGGCAAATTTGGCATCTCAAGGAAGGAATCAAACAATGAGTGGGATGATAATTAAATAAAAGTATCTTTAGAATGAAAGTTGGGAAAAAAATTTTAAGAAAATTAGGTACACTAATGTCGTCAAACATTAAAATGTCGATAAGGCCGGAGAAAGGCAACTATAAAAATAAGTAAATTGCAATTAAAGTTAGTCTATGTTTGATTTAGTTAAAATTATAAAAATTTAAATTAAAGTCAATAATTAATTTTAATAATATATTTTGTGGAACTCACAATTTTCATCAACTTTTAATCAAATATTTTATTAATTTTTATTAAAATTCATTAAAACCTAGAGCTTGCTTGGTAGAGAGTTTGATAATTGATTTTTTGCTCATTAGAGATAAAGTGGATCCTATTTGTGAAAAAATAATTTAAAATAACGACTAAAATAGTGAAATAATGAACAAAAAATTAATTTTAATTGACTTAAAATTCCTGTCAAACAAGTGCCTAATTTTTTTCTCCCAAACGATATCGGGCTTAAAATTCTAGTAGCGTGGGCTTGTAAAGCAAATTAGCAACATAGGGGTCGAGGTAGGTGGCTATGTTAGCTTCGTGCCTTAGTATGACTTTCTAAGATTTAATTTGTCAACGTTCATGCGATTGTTTACTGGGTAAATTTCGATAAAAATTTGGATATTAGAACCATTGGTGTAACATAATATGTTGAAGATTAAATTGGTTCAAATTAAAAGTTATGGGCCTAACTTAAATCATAAGTTGAAAATGTTCACGACTGACTCTTGGTAGCATCGTTATGAAATGTCAACATTAGCATTAGAAATTTCCTTTTCATTTAGGTTTGGACAAAAAAATCGAAAAATCGATCACACCCAACCGACTCATTAATTGGTTTTGGTTTGATCTTCTTTTAAACAAAACCATCATGGGTTGATTCAATCATGGTTTAAAGTCTCGAACCGTTGATTAATAGAACCAACCCAACCCACTTACTTATTTACTTTTTTTTTTATTATTTATTTAAGAAAGAAATCAAAAGATAAACTCTAATATCATAACTATATCTCGATTCTCTTCAATCTATAATATTGTCGATAAGTAATAGCTTTGAGAATTTTCTTTCACAAGCTCATTATATTATACTTAACATCTATTCTACTCAAACAGTCAGATTACATAATACATAAAAAGCAACAAAATTTTTATGTTTTTTGTTGATCTGTCTCGATTGAACTGATTTTATTTGTTAGTCAATAGGTTTTGTAATATAAAATTATTTAGTTATTTTAGTTCTTGTAATTTAAGTATACCCAAAATTCGAACAATTATTTTTTTAAATAAAAAAATCAATTTAGACTAAAAATTCAAACCGACTAATCGAACCGAACCAAATCAAACCGATTTGATTTGGTTTGGTTCGATTTTAGAGTTAGAGGGCTGATTTGGATTGAAATTCGCCCAAACCAACTATTTTGGTTTTGGTTTCGAGTTAGAGTCTAAACCAATTCAAATCAGATCGTGTCTAGGCCTAATTATACGCGTGAATCAGTGCATTACAAGAATTTCAAAACGTATAGTTTAATTTCCTAATTTCCTTTAAAAATTTATGTTATTAGAAAGAAGAAAAAAAAATATTTACTTATAAATTGTTTCTCCCAAGTTCCAAACACACTCCTTCACGTGCAATCCATATTATTTAATTTTCAATAATATGTAGCAGAAGTTCAAACTCAACAAATTTCTGCAATCTTTTAAAAATGAATAAATTTATTTATCTCACACAATTTAAACGATGTTCATACTATTAATACTAGATTATTATTTACAGCCATTTTCAAATGCTTAAATACTTTATACCAAAAGGGGAATGGAAATCTCAATTAAATAAATTTCACAATTATTGATTCCAAATTAATTTTATAATTGATCCTAGGTTCTGGACCTAACTTCATTGTTCTTGGGCAGTTGGAATTATTTTATGGAAAAAAATTATAAGTAAGAGTTTAAATATTGCACATTTCAAAATCAGAACAACCAGTTCGAAAAAGAAATCTATTTTGTCATTTAGACGAAAAAAGACTCTGATTCTTAAGAACTGTCGAATCACTCATGATATGATCTTCTACATCTTAGGTCTTCCCGTTACGGACAGATATGCCTTGCTCATTAACCAAATTTCAAAAATCAGATTTTTATTAAAATTTATTTATTTATTAAATATATTTATGTCACAAATCTATACAATTTGATCACAAATTAATTATTCAGTTAGTCACTTATTATTTTTTTATCATAAATAAAAAATTTTACGTCACAAATTATTTTACACATTCAAAAATCTCATAGGTCATAGTTTGTTTGTCGGTCACGAATCAAAAAATTTATAAGTCATGATTTTTTATTGATCATAAATTATCGATCACGTATTATTCATCGATCACAAAATGAAAACTTTTATTTGGCGCTACTCAATTATTCATTTCAAATTATTAGATTAATTGGTCACAATTAATTTTTCTGTCACAATTTAATCAATTGTAAGTTATAGTCAAAACTTTTAGGTCACATATTATAAATTAACTAATTTTTGGTCATAATCAACCAAATAATTGGTTATAAGCATCCAACCCCATCTGAAGCAGTCGTCTCCGCCAACAACCACACCATCACCACCGCCACTACAGCCACACCCCACCGTGACTAGAAGCAGCACAACCACCGCAACCACCAGCTCTCCACCAACAAATCATATCCAAAACGCCATTGCCTTATCGCCATCGTTGCCGCCTCCACAATCACTGCCATCATCACCTCCACTATTTTCAACCACCACCACGCCCAAACACTCCTTCACAGAATAGGCAAGAAGAAACCATCACGATACATCACCGCAACCATTCACCATACCGGCAGCTGGCCAAAAACACCAAACAAAATCATCGCCACCAACAAGCTCCAACATTGCTGCCTAAACACCAAATCACAAGCACTCCAATCGTCGCCCAAAAACCAACAAAATTTCAACCCAAACACCAAATCTGAACTAGGAGACAGAGACAGAGAGAGTTGTGAGAGAAGGTAGATAGAAGATAGAAAGGTGACACCATCGCTTGTCTAGCAACGTCGATGGTACCTCCGTTTCTGCAGTGTCGTAGTTGGCATCAAGCAATTGTGGTGAGAATGTGATAAAACTGGCATCCATCATCAACATTGATGCGGCATTGGTGTGGTGGCGATGAGAAGATGATGACAGAGACAAAAGAGTGAGAAGATAGAGAAAGGTGAGACCGAACCTGACTTGAAATTTTCGGGTATTTTGTATGACGAATTATGGAATCGTTTGGGTTCGGTTCTACTCAGTTCCCAGATTTTGTACTATAATTATTCTTTTTTAATATTTACAAAGTTACATTAATTCAACTAATAATATGTTCAATCTTAACTCTTACAAAATAACTTAGTCTAATTTTATGTATCTTTTGCATCTCTCTTTGCTAAGTTATTCAAATATTTGATTGTGAAAATCATAGGAAGAGGACGATAACGAGTTTACAATAATTAAGAGAGGAGCTGTCGAACTTCAATTTGATTTCTCCTGAACGATAGAAACAACACTACGGTAGAATAACAGATTTGAGTAAAATTAAAGTCAATTTGATTAAGTAGGCTTTGACTGAAAATTGGGAAAAAAAATCATATTTTTGGATTAGCAAATTTATTTAGAAAAAATAAATAATTTGACTTATTTAAAATAAATAAACTCAAAAAACTAAGGCGATTCAGTTCTTAATCTAGAATCGAATCGAATCCGTCGGTTCTCAATTCAGATACACGTTCCATATTTAATTTAAGAAGAACCGCTCAGATCAATTCAGTTCAGTTTGGGTCCAGTTCGGTTAGTGAGTTTTATCCAGCCCTAGGTAGAGATAGGGGCTAATGTTGATTTATAATAAATGAATTAATATATGATTTGTGAACTAATAAGCTTAGCATAGGATTTATGAAATAAGATCTTTAAAAGTAGACTTTTATATAATTTTCACTTATTTTATTGCAGAAGATAAAAGTACAATTTAGGGAGTAATTCCAAGGGCTTTGATCCAGGTCCAAGAGCCAAGAAAGCCTAAAAGTGCCTAAAATAACCAACAAAGGCCCAAGTTGTATCAAGACCGAAACGA